GGATTCCCTCTAGTCCAAAATCTAGACTAGAGGGGCTATTTGGATCTGTGGAGCCCACCACATGTCTCATTTTGATGGCTAAAACCAAGGACGGAGGCAGCATAGGGCTAGGTGGTCACGTGCCGCCCTCAATTTTGAATCTTTTTTTTTTTGTTATTGCCATGTATAAAATGTATTCTCTTTTTTTTGTTAATATCTTTTTTAGTTAATGATTTATTATATTGTTCACAACAAGTAATTGTTTGATACCTTGGGAATAATATGTGGTATTATTTATAAAGTAGTTTAAATCAATAGTGTAGTAAAAAATATTATAGACTGGATATAATGAACTCATTATTTTCAAGTAGTTGACATACCACTTAGTGTGATTTGTGATTTTCTATACTTTGAGTATCACGTAGGTAACATCATATGGTACTCTAAAACTATTTGATAATTTTCATTCAAAACACATCATTTATAAGCAATATCATCTCTTTAATATTTTTTTTTTCAAATAAAAATTAAATAGATTTTATAATAATTTGTGTTATAAATGATGTGTTTTTATTTTTTAAAATTAGGAATTTTGATCCATAATTTTTTGTGCTAAAATTACAAACTTACATCATCATCCCACACCGAGTTATTCCACTATATTATAGAATTTTAGTTTGTTCTTATTAATAATGAATATGTAATTTTTTATGTTTAAATTTATCTCATAAAATTATGATTATCTTAATTGCTCATGATGTTTTTTAAACAAAAAATTATAAATAATAAGTGCTCCATCTAATCTAATTTTCTGACTCCACCCACTGACTAAAACTATTAATTTTATTGAACACTTTGTGTATTTTATTAAAAAAAATTAGATCAATTAAATAAATAACATGTATTGAAATCAAATATGGTGTACAAATAAAATTACGACTTGCCAAATTTGACACGTCTTTTGGGTGTCCTTTTGTGTGGTTCTCGTAGCTGCCTTGGTTTTTTTTTTCAACTAGCTAGATAATACTGTCTTGGAAATCATTAAAGTAGATGATTTTTAACACCGTAACTCTAACGGGATTAATTTGATTGGTCAAAACTGTAATTCATTAGGAGGTCAGTAATTTGAATCTCTATTCTTGCATATAGATCTTATTTCATGTGTATTAATTGAGACATTCTCTCTTACTTTGGGAGTTTTTTTGTAAAAATTGTATTTAATTTTTATTTCTATGATTCTAATTCAGTGGGTTTTATTGTAATATCTTATATGAATCAAATATAAAAAATATATATATATATATATATTTCCTCTGTTCTAAAATAATAGTCCCTTTTGAGGAATCTAACTTTTTTTGATAGTACAATTATTTCACTTTAAAATATTAATTTTTTAAAATTACCCTTTGATGGTACATTTTTTTTTTTGAGAATATCAATTGTCATAATTGTATTTTTTGTGCTGTAATGAATTTAAAAGAAGGGCAAAATAAGAAATTTGTATTATTTTAGTTTTTAATTTTTAAAAATAGACTAATATTTTAGGACAATGAAAAATAAAATAAAGGATTAATATTTTAGGACGGATGAAGTAATTAAATCTAAACATTCAATATTAAAGTGAAAAATGATGATTTGAGAGGCAATTAGATATATAATTAAATGTAATTGTACAGTTTCAACATCAAAATGGGAAGGGTTTAAAAAGAGTAACTAAAAACACAGTGAACTTCAACTGTAAAATTGGAAGGGGAAAAAATGGTATTAAAACAGATACAATTTCAAAATGAAAAGTAAAAGATTAACCCTATCATTGAACCAAGGCTTCTAGTCTAATAATTGTACAGTATCATTTTATGATGTAACATTATGGGTCAAATTTTATGCATAGTAGTTTGATACTTTTTGCATTCTTCTGTTCTCCTACTAACATTTTATCAACTAACTTCTTACTGATGTAAATTATGTGAAAAAAAAAAAAAAAAACATTACAAAACCCTTCTCCAACACCCTCAGCCCCTTATTTACCCTTTGTGATCATGCACAATTCCTTTATTTTACCTTTTTCCCTTTATTATTCCTAGTCCCTTTTCCACATTCTTCTATCATTGCTGCAACCACTACCACCCTCTATCACTCTCTCATCACTTCTATCCTTTTCATCCCTACTCAACTACTAGTTCTCCTTTCGAACCCTAGCCCCTACAGCCATTCCATCCTCTAGTCCTTTTTTCTCATGACCCCACATGATTTACTCTATTATTGAGACACATGCTCATTTGTAAGTGCAAAATATGTATAAATACGAAGTGACGAGTGTAATGACCTTACATAGTTTGCACTTACATCAAACGCAATTAACACTAACAATTGTGTATATTTTATATTTTCCCTAAACACGTTCACAACATGGACGGAGTGTGGGGTCACGATGGGAAAGAAAGGAGTGGGAAGGAGGCACTAGGAGTGGTCGAAAACGACAACAGTGGCAATGGCGGATGGGTATGGAAGTAATTGGAGGTGGCAAGAGAGGGTAGCAATGGGAATGGTAGTGGTGATGAAGAGGAAGTCATAAGTAGTAAGGAGGGATTTGCAATGGTAGTAGATAGTCAAAAGTTGTAAGGAAATGAGTAAGAGAGAGAATAAAAAGAAGAAAGAGAAAAATAAGGGCTCTTTGGTTAATTTAGTAATGGATTCCACAATTTTAAAAGAGAGTTGCTATTAGCGTCCACATTAATTCTTAAGATTCTCTATTTCTTTGAACTTGTACACCTCAAAATTACTTTCCTCTCTTTTTTCTTTGAACAAGCACTATAATGCCATTTATTCTTTTTCAATCCCACTATTGCACCTAACTTTGACAGCCTCTACCCCAACATTCGGTGACCTCATCCAACCCTTCTATGATGGTAATGACCCTTTCTAGGGGTGTAAATTTGGTCCTGCTTAGCCTAACCTCGTAGGCTCCTGCCAAAATTTTGGCTGAGCTGGTCCACGAGCCAAAAAATTAGGCTCAGGCATAGACCCATGGGTAATCGGGCCTTCAGTGGGCCTGGCCTTGGGCTTGGGCGGACCTGACCATTTTTTTTTTGTTTTTTAAATATTTTTTATAAAAATTTTATTATTTTTCACTAAAAAAGACACTGAGCCTTGGGCAAGCTAGGCCTCGAGTTGGCCCTTGAGTGGGCTTTAAGCGGGTCCATGGGCCGGTCTGGGCTTCAAAATGATGGCTCAAGCCCAAGGGCTCGGGATGGGCTCAAGCTCGGGCCAATTTCCAACCGCAGGCTATTTTTACACTTCTAAACCTTCCTTAGCTCATTTCACTCTTAGATAGTCTTTTTTTTTTTTTTTTTTTTCTTGGATACATCGGAAATGAAGAGAGTCATCTTTGGTTTGCAATATTTTGCCAGTGATTTGGTTTTTTTCCTAATTTTGTTGCCACTGCAACAACATCTCTTCCTCCTCTTCTTATTTTTCTATGCCGCAAAAACTTCCGTAGTACTAATTTGTAAATTTATCTGAATACAATTTGTTGAATTTGAATACCACTTTTGCATAAAAACAATGTTAGGAATACAAAAAATTCTATCAAACAATCACATTAGCGTAGAATCCACATGCCACATCAATACAAGTTTGCTAAAAAAAGTAATAGAAATTTGAAAAAATTACGTTTCCAGTGAAGCAATAATAAAAAAATATATTTTTATAATAGTGTAACTCTTTTACATGTAAAGTATGAATTTATGCATATATTTACAACAATGATTGAGACTCATTTTTTGAAAGACCTTCACAATCCTTTTGAATTTCAACCATTTATAGTATGAATCTCACACATATATAAATGAGTCAATATATACATAAATAATTGAGATATAAAGGACCGTGGAGGTCTCCAACAAGAGGAGGTCTATGCATTTTTCATATATTTTGTACAACTCTTATTATATATCAAAATTATGCTAAAAATAATTCTATACTGTATGCTATACTATATTTGCAATTTCTCTGAAATTATATTTTGGGACTATAATTATGGTTTTCACAACGGGCACAGAAATCCAACCCATAACGCCTCTTCAACAATAACAATGTCTTATTGTGTGTCAGTGCAAGCTTAAAAAGTTGGACAATGCCCTACGTGGGCTCCACTGTCTTGTTGCCACTGCAACAACATCTCTTCCTCCTCTTCTTATTTTTCTATGCCGCAAAAACTTCCGTCGTACTAATTTGTAAATTTATCTGAATACAATTTGTTGAATTTGAATACCACTTTTGCATAAAAACAATGTTAGGAATACAAAAAATTCTATCAAACAATCACATTAATGTAGAACCCACATGCCACATCAATTCAAGTTTGCTAAAAAATGTAATAGAAATTTGAAAAAATTACATTTCCAGTGAAGCAATAATAAAAAAATATATTTTTATAATGAATAATGTTTGGGACCCCCTTTTGGGGGTCACCCCCTCACCCCCTTTGCCACGTGGCAGGGGTGATTGGAGGAGCAGGAAAAAAAAGAAAAAGAAAAAGAAAAGGTAACCAATGAGAGAGAGAGGGGGTCAAAGGGGGTGAGGGGAAAATGGGAATGAATCATTACTCTTTTATAATAGTGTAACTCTTTTACATGTAAAGTATAAATTTATGCATATATTTACAACAATGATTGAGACTCATTTTTTGAAAGACCTTCACAATTCTTTTGAATTTCAACCATTTATAGTATGAATCTCACACATATATAAATGAGTCAATATATACATAAATAATTGAGATATAAAGGACCGTGGAGGTCTCCAACAAGAGGAGGTCTATGCATTTTTCATATATTTTGTACAACTCTTATTATATATCAAAATTATGCTAAAAATAATTCTATACTGTATGCTATACTATATTTGCAATTTCTCTGAAATTATATTTTGGGACTATAATTATGGTTTTCACAACGGGCACAGAAATCCAACCCATAACGCCTCTTCAACAATAACAATGTCTTATTGTGTGTCAGTGCAAGCTTAAAAAGTTGGACAATGCCCTACGTGGGCTCCACTGTCCACACACAAACTCTTGTCTTTCTGCGTGCTCTTTTGCATGGAACCAGCAGCAGCTAGCTACTAATCCCTCCGCATCCGGATTCGCCCTTTATCCACCTGTAATCTCTCTCTCTCTCTCTTAAAAGTTTCACTTTCTCTCTCTACAAAGACTCACTCGGATCTTCTCCGAGTTATTCAGCAGCCTCCATACAATTGACTTGAGCTCTGAGGTACACCAAAGACCCACAACATTATTTTAAATTATTTTCTTTTAATCAATCTTAATTTATAATTTATCACTTTTCCCTTGTCTTAAAGCTATCAGCTTTCTGATGCTAAGTCTTTTTGGATTTGATTTTGGGTTGAATCGAATCAAATCGGTTTATTTCTGGATTCCCTGTTTCTGAATTGGGTGAATCGCGCTTGATTTGTTCTTGTTGGCGGTTGTGATCTCTGTAGGTGTATGTTTTTCAGAGGTTTTGATTGGTTTCACTCTGTTTTGTACTTGAATTGATGTGAATTTGATGGGTTTTGAGTTTGATATCTGGGTTTTGATTGTTTAGACATGGGTTTTCTATATATTTATCTGTTCTTTTGGTTTGTTTTGTTGATGGAAGCAATAAGAGATATGAGATGTAGATTTGTTTTTTTCATAGCATCTGCTTATGTAGTAGTGAATTGGGCACAATTATACTGATTGTTTGCTTGAGAGAGACAGAGAGAGAGAGTCCATTGATGATATTCTTAGAGATTCCCCCTTTCGAGTTTTCTTCTTTCTAGGCTTCAATTTAAATTCTGTAACTTTTAAATTAGTTCCCTCTTCTCTGCTTATCACTGATACTTTTGCTTCAAAATAAAGCTACCCTGAACAACCTTTCATCTTATTCGATGAACTTTCTTTTTGTTGGACATCAATCAAAAGTATGTCTTTTGAAGTCAAGTGCTTCCGCAACAGTTTCTTACAATGATTTTTCATTTTTAATTCTTTTGTTTCAGGTAAATCTTGACTGTTTATTCTATTTGTGAATTTAGTTTAGATGTTGGTTTGTTAATGGATAACTTGTGTGTGCTTTCTTGTGCTTAGTCAGATTAAGTTCCTTTCTTTGTGATTTTGGTAATGATGGTGGTGGCAGTGGCTGCAGGCAGTGCCATTGTTTTACTTCTTTGTGTCGCGTGCGTTTTAATGACTGATGTAGTTACTTCTGTACGATATTCATGCCTTTGTATTTTTGTGTATCATGACCTCCATAAATGACCTCCATCTTTATGTACTGGTCTCAACAAATTCTAGACTAATTTCCACTCATGTTTTTTGGCTATATATGCTTTCATGACCTAATGATTGGGATGATTTTCTTTTTTTCTTAATTTGGTTGATTTTCTTTTTCTGTTTTATTTGTTCATATTTGTGTACATGGCAAAAGTTGCAGCAGTAGCAAATACTTCCACTCTATAGATGGTAAGGTATCAAGGAAAGTTTGAAATCTATAATTGAGAAGCAAGTTGTTAGAATTGAGTCAATGGTTGATATTTTTAATCCATGGCTCTTTTTTTTAACACTTGGATTTTCTAGCAATGATCTTTTACTCTTCTCCAGTTATTTTCGTTTTCACTTATAAGGGCAGGAGTTAGGAATTTGTGTGTCATTTGAGTTCATTTGTAATTTAATGTAATTCTTTTTTTATTACTCTGAAAATTTTGATTGTATATTTATTCTTGTAATAAGGGAAACAACATGTTATATTACTTTGTTTCTTTTATCTTTTACACTTTATTTAATGAACTTTTGAATTTTAAAGTGTTTGGATTCATAATCATTGCCACTTCTTTTGTTGTCTTTCTGATTTGCATGGAACATCTTTGTTTTCAGGAGGATGCCTATGTTCTGATTGTTCTGATTACTTAATCAAGTAAGAATTCTGAAAAAAACAGCTAGATCTGGATTGATGGGGGCTGCAACCTCTAGAATAGAAGAAGATAAGGCTTTGCAGCTATGCCGTGATCGAAAGAAGTTTGTTAGAGAAGCACTTGATGGAAGATGCTCATTAGCAGCTACTCATGTTGCATATATACAGTCACTGAAAACTGTTGGAACTGCTTTAAGGAAATTTGTTGAACCCGAAGCTCCAATCGAATCTTCCTTATATACATCCACTAGTGCAACTCCAGAGCCACTTGTGTTGACTGAGAAATCCCTTTCCCAGTTCTCATTTTCTTCCCCATCTACGTCGCAGCGTGTGGATGCAACTGAAAACCTCTCTCCATATCCTTCTCCACCCACCTCTGGTCGGTACCATGCAAATCATATGAAATTTAGGGTTCCTTTCTCTAGAAAAATTGAAGAAAAACCTTCTGTGCCAGTTGTGGGGTCCGTAATTTCTTCAAGTACCCCACCGAGTAACACAATTCACTCATCTGAAAGACCTGAAACATCACTCTTTGAAACTCCTTCGAACCCACATCAAACTCCAGCATGGGATTACTTTGGTCTTTTTCACCCAATTGACAATCACTTCTCTTCAGAGGAAGGGAGGGGATTGAATCAAGGATTGGAGAACGACGATGACATAAAACAGCTTAGGGAAGAGGAGGGGATTCCTGAATTGGAAGATGAAGAAGACAAGGTTTCATCTCATGGAAGTGAGGAGTCTCAGGAATCAGAAGATGAATTCGATGAACCTCCTACTGATACACTGGTTCGAACTTTTGAAAATGTTAATAGGGTTCCAGATCTTGGTGCTGCTAGTACTTCACCGGTTGTTCCATCTGCAGAAAGTGTAGCATCAGAAACTGAATTTTTTAATGGGGCTAAAAGCAACTCTCCTGATTTGTCACCACTACGAGCCACAGCCTCGGGAGTTGCACTTCCCAATGATGTAAAGAGAGGACAGGAGAAAGAAGATGGCCCTGAAAATAAGGTTACTCATAGGGACTTCTTTTCATGCATGAAAGATGTTGAATATCTCTTCATCAAAGCTTCCGAGTCCGGAAGAGAAGTTCCAAGGATGCTTGAAGCAAACAAGTTCCATTTTCGCCCAATTTTCCCGGGGAAAGATCGTAATTCTCACTCACTCTCTCTCAAATATTTGTTCTTGAATGATTGTTCATTTTCATTAAATTTTGGTTCTCTAATTCACAATAGCAGCCGTGGGTGCAATTTGAAAAGAGAAGTATGTGGGTGGGGTCTGAGATTATAGCTTTGTGATTTTCTTGATTAAAAATTGTGCATCTTGTTTTAGGCAGACGAGCCTCCCACTTTTCTGAGGCTTATTGATTTGGATAGATTTGAAGCCTTAATTTTTTCTTTTATATTTAAAATGGATGTTTTTCTGGAATAAAGGAAATAAAAATTAGCTGAGGCTTAATTACTAATAAACTTGATTAGAAATTATGAGGTTTAGAGTATTTAATGAGGCCTTGTTAGGTAAGCGGCTCTAGAGATATGCAATCAAAGGAATAATTTTTGAAAGAAGATATTAGCTACTACCAAATATGACCGGTGTGGGTGGTTGGACTATGATTTAATTCTTATGGGTAAAGATTTTGGAATGGCATTACGAAGGAAATGGGGTGAATTTATTAAACTCATGTTTTTGCAATTGGGGAGAGTAGTCGGGTGAACTTTAGATGGTGCAGAGATGTTCTGTTGAAACTGTGCCACATCTTCATGGGGTAGCTAAGGGCGGTATGTGATCTCATAAGGTTGAACATATTGTGGTGAGGGAATGTTCATTTTTTTTGCAGAATTGGTCTATGATTGGGAATTGGATATGTTTGAGGCTTTTTAGTGGATATTGGGGGAGGATGAGATTTGTTGGGGAACTCTTTTTATAAGGTTTGTGTTGGTTAAAATGGGGGTGCTAGATGTGGTGTCCTTTGGATGATAAATCATCACATTTTTTAGGGAGTTGAAGCCCCAATTATAGATTTTTGTCTTCTTTTTTTGCGATTGTTACATAGCTGCATAATAGGTAAGGTTAGATTTTGATATGTTACATAGTTGCATAATAGGTAAGGGATGCATAGCTTTGTATGTGTCATGTGTATGTGGAAGCAATTATTTATTTATTTATTTTCAAGGAATTATTTTAGACAATTTATTTCATATAAGCTGGTGAAATCCTGTAACGATAAAATATTCTATTGTGACAGGTGGGTCAATGACTTTGACATTATTCAAAACTTGTTTCTCTTGTGGGGAAGATCATAACCCTGTTCAAGAAGGTAGGTCTCTCCATCTTGATATTTGTAAATCAATGTACTAACTCATGTGCTAATTGCTAAGGCGTCATGAATACTTTTGGTGTGTGGTAAACTATTTTGGCGTGTTTGTATTTTGTACTCATGCTTGGTAACTGTGGTTGTGTTTTTTTGTTATATATGTATTTTAAGAAAAGTGATACATAAGACACGACTGCATTACCTTATTCATTGACCTTTGAAATGCTTTCACACCATGAATGTTAAAGAATAGTTTCATTTTGTTCAAATTTGTTCAAGTTCTGTCATAATTGGAAAGATGACATAGCTTTGGTTTGACAAAACATGACAGATAATAAGTTTCAAGTTATACGATGAATTTGTGTAGCAATAAATGATAAAAAGAACCCACCGAAGGGCATAAAAAGAAAGTATATGGAAATTCGTCAATAAAATATTGTATGCTTAATTTACCTGATGACTCATTGTTTCCAAAGATTTCATAATACCTTTTTAATTGTCCTAAATCAAATTTCTTGACAGAAGAAAAATCAGAAATTAAGACTGCATGTACATAAAATTTAGTCACTAAGAAGATGTGATATCAACTGTATTTTTCCTTTTAGAGAAAACTACTTGTATTGAGGGAATAAGGGAGTGAATTAAGGAAGATAGTGTTCCTCAATGAGAAGGAGATTCGATATTGACTACCACAAAGGAGCACTGATACACTTCATAAAATTACTGTGGCCATGTCATACTCTTAACAGAAAGGAATATGACATCAATGTGCCTAAACACACATTCTACCCTGCTAACATGTCTAACATAAGTCTTGTATGCCAACCTCTTCGGGTTGCAAGACAAATTACTACTTTGCTCTATCTAGAGCAATGCCTTATATTAAGCTAAGGCCATCCTATCTCTCTCTAGCCTTGACTTCTTTTTGGCCTTCCTTTATCTACTAGTGCCTTCATTTTGGTGTAGTAGCCTTTGTTGAAGAAGGTCAATGTCGTTGATAACCTATCATTTCATAATTAATGATATTACACTTCTCACGAGTGTATCCATCTTTTGTTTGTTGATAGATAAATCAATCCATTGGTTTTTACAACATATTGATTATTTTTTGTCAAGATTTTGTATATATAGCATGATTAATGGTGTAGGGTGAATGTGGAGAAACATTATCCTTCAAGATCTCCTACCAAACTAATTTTTGATGATATTAAAATTGGAAAGGGTAAATCTTGGAATCTCACTGCCAATTATTAGTTTTTGTTTGGCTAAGATTATTGAAAACTTAGGGTTTGATGCATGGAGGTAAATAATTTTGTTTGGACTTAAAAGGATGGTAAAGAGTTTAAATATGTTTAGATTTTATTGTTTAAAGTTGCTAAAAATTTTAGATAGCCAATCTTTTAAGGTGCTTGAGGGGTTAGGTTCATGCTATGTTACACAGTCTGCCAAATGTAGGAAGTACCTATATGGACACATGACACTTCACCAAGGCTGTGACACATGGGTAAAAATGGTCTTGTTGGACATCCAAGCAACAAGCTTTCTAGTAATTTAAGTTCACTGTATAATTATCCTCTAAATCAACTCCTGTTGTAGCAATACTATCAACATACACAATGAGAGCAGTCACATTGCTTTCAAGCAAATGGTGAAGAAACAATTTATGATCACTCCGACTTTGTTTATAGCCACATCTTAGCATAGCCTAAGGAAACCTCTCGATCCATACTCTCTTTTCCATTTAAGAATCCGGAAGTTGGTCCCAAAATTATGGTTTATGAGTATTATCATGTTCTCCAGGAGATTGTTTTAACCCGTATAATGCCTTTAAGCTTGTACACTCTACCATTAACCGAGGAATCCTCAAAGCCAGTTGAACATCCATAAATACTTCCACCTCTAAGTCTCTAGGGGGAAAGGCTACTGAATGTCTAACTGAAATGAAATGGTTTGCTCTAGTTGAATTTTAAACATTTACAATATAATTATATAATATAGCAGAAGCATAATGTAAACATCCTTGGCCAAAACACAAGGCCATATGATACGTACATCTCGTAGTATCACAAGATGGCACATGAAGTCCAATCCAAATATACAAAACACGAGATGTGTTCACATAGTTCATGCACAAACTTCAGTCATCATCTTCATATACTATGTACACAAACTTACCTGTTCATTTAACTTATGCCCTATATGTAGGATTTAATTACTCATCTGATTCTGTCCTTTTTTTTGTGGTCCATTTAGAGCCTCCTCAAGATTCTGTAAAGTACTTAACTTGGCATCGGACAACGTCATCACGTTCCTCTTCATCCAGGAATCCTCTTGGCGCAAACTCAAGAGATGATATTGGGGACCTCACCAATAATCTCTTCGAAAATTTCTGTATGGTATCAGGAAGTCATGCCTCTACCTTAGACAGACTGTATGCATGGGAGAGGAAGCTTTATGATGAAGTCAAGGTACTGGGAATTTGATAGCTATACCTGTAGTAAAAATTGTCTTTTACTCATCTTATAAATGTGCTCATTTTAAGAGGAAAAAAAAATATTGGGTCCTGTTTTTGCTACTTCGCTTCAAAATTTCTAGATCTTAATTTGTTCAACTAGGTTGGAGCTAAAGATATGGAATAATTTGTTTTTCATAAATTCTATAATTTCACCTGTTCACTCTGCTCATTGTTCAAGTCAAACTGAATTGAGTTAACTGAACACTTGAGTCAGCATGCTTTCAAACATTTAGTAGAACCCTTTTATGTTTCAAGCTGTATGACCTTACATATGAACATGAAAATGCAATCATCCTTCAAATTTTACAGATTTGTGTTCTGAGGCTTGATCACCATGCTCATGTGTGGTGTATGAAGAACCCACTGTTATTGGCAGATACCAATATGTGTCACCTGTAAAACCAACGATTCTTGAGGTTCACATAATATAAGAAGTGGATAAAGTAAATAAAATTGCTTTATTTTTTTAATTTTTTTTTGAGTTTCATTTAATTTTGGTTTGTACTAATTTGTAATTTCTATTATGAACTGACTAATTATCAGTAGAATTATTCATTCCTATGCATGCTTTCCAAGTTCCTTATACTAGACTTGCAGACGTTTCCCTTCAGCTAATATGCAAGTCATATCAAGGGTTATTATACTAGGAGCAATATTGGTACCAAAAACCATGCCAGAACTTTGAGACAAGCATAGCAGTTTTTGTTAACAGGGAGCGTGGTTTTTGGATAAAAATGACAACAAAAAATAAAATGATTGGCTTAAGGAACCACAAACACTTCTTAGTAGGAGCCATGTCCATAAACTAACTCTTCTCAAAAACACAATGGACGAATGCTTGTCACACTTGGATCACAAATTCACAATGCATTTTAAATAATTTTCAATTTTCAGACTCTCTTCAGCACTCTATCTATGAGTCTATATGTATGTGTATATAAGCTAATGTGTGTGTCTAACACCATGTCCTTTTCATCACCTTAAAATAATTATCTTGTAGAGGCATCTTTAACTTCCCAGGTCCATATCCAACCTTGTGTTTCTGCAGCAAAGATAAATGATGTGTATTGCTACATCGTTGTAAGTGCCATTTTGACGGTCTTTTCTTCCTATTTTTACAATTTAAAGTGTTTTATTTAGGAAATCGTTTTTACACTTGAAATTTTGTGATCCTAACTAACGAAAAATCATTTCCATCATGAGAAGATTTAAAAGCAAAACTATAGTTTAGGGTGCATAGTCTATATGTTGACACTCACTAGGTAGTTAAGTCAACCTCAACCTTTGAATCCTATGATGTCTGAATAGGGTTTCCGTGCAGTGGCTTCCAGCTTATAATTGATTCACCAGGTAACATGTGGAGTTTGGTGGCAATGTCATGGGCGTGATTATACTTGAAAAAACAGAGAGCTTCTATTTCCACACACCACATTATCTCAATTAACATACTCTTTTGGTTCGAATGTCAACTTTTGAACAAAACTTTATGACACGGAAATTAACTTCTGAATGAAACCTTATGATTCGGCCATATCTTTGGTTCAGAGGCTGATTTTTGAACTATTGGTTTTCGTTTTAAAGTTTATTTCTGAACCATGTAATTTTGTTTGGAAATCAACCTCTGAATGAAAAATGGTGTGTGAACTTAGAGAAAGTTGTGTGTGGAAATTGAAGCTCCCAAAATAACACTTCCGATAACCCAGCCCTAGATTTAGTATTGCCACACTAGTGGCATTGAGTTTCTTTCATAATTGGTCTTGGTGTTCAATGACTGTCATTTTCTATTGCTATAAAGTATAAAATGAACCAATTCTGAATTTCATTCTGAGTTGGTCCCACTGTGAGACTCAATTCCAGGCACCCAAAATAGCCTAAATGTCAGCAATTCAGCATACATTCTGATACATTATAAAGCATCAATGTTTGAAGCATTTGCTCATGTCTGTTTGTCTCTTTGTAGTGTGTTGAAATTTCCACTACCATTATAATGTTTTAAGAAATTTCACTTGTACAGGAACCTGTATATTGGGTAAAGTAGTAAACTGCTGGAAAGGCTAATTTTGCAGGAAAGGTGTGGGTTTAGAAGAAACTGTTGTCCTTCAGCTAGGAGGGTGTCCCATCAAATGAAAATATGGTGTGCCAAAAGATTAATTTTATTCTGTCAAATTTTAATCTACTAATGAAATTTTTTTTTTAAATTTTATTTTTAAGTTTCAATGCTTTGAAATTCCATTGATATTATATGTTGCCTTCTTTAATACTTTTCCACGACTAGAAAATGAAACATTTTCTATGTACCTTCTGTATACATAAGTCGTATTTGTGCTGATAAAAAAAGAAGAAGAAAAGAAGCTGTATTTGCGATTTTATGTTTTTGTTCAATTGTGCACTAGCAATGTAATCAATATCTGTAGATGCGATTATATTGAATGACAGCTGTTACTTGAGCTTTATCTTCAATTTTCCAGTTATCAAGTAGCTTGAAAATGTTCTATTATATGTGACATCCTTAATTTTTGACATATCCTGAAATAATTTTGAAATTTCAGGCTAGTGAGCTTGTCAGAAAGGAGTATGACTTTAAATGTAGACTCCTTAGACAACTAGAATCGAAGGGAGAAAGTTCCAAGAAGGTTGATAAAACTCGAGCTGTTGTGAAGGACCTGCACTCAAGAATCAGAGTTGCAATTCACAGAATTAACTCAATATCAAAGAAAATTGAGGAGCTAAGAGACAATGAGCTTCAGCCACAACTTGAGGAGTTGATTGAAGGGTATGTGATGCCTGTCCTTTTTCATTAGTGCTTAATATATTACTCACAGGATGACAATATTGCAGGACTCTCCTGGTCCAAAAACCTCGATTTAATATTATGTTAGAAAATGTGGTTCCTACTGTGAAAGCATATTAAAATAAAAAATAGTTCATATGTAGTGGAAGTACTGACACGAATCTGTCACTGCCCTTTTTTTTATTTCTGCAACAAAAACAAGTAAGGATTACATCCTATTGATCATGGTTAACTGGGATTAAAGTCTTAGCTTAGTACTAATCTTACTGGTATATAATCCAGATGAAAAGTATGATTTTATTAAACATGCTATTGGATGTACCTATAAATTAATTCCAAGTTTGTCTTCAAATATGCGTTACATTTACTCTTCTACTTCCCTCTTGTACCTCTGTCCATCAAGTATGACAAGGATAAAGGTATGAGATGTGTCTAACGTCCATACCCGATTTAGACACTTGGATTCTCTAATTTTATATGATGTTTGAAGAAGGAAAAAAAAAAAAGACACTCACATTTGCTAGTAAAGAAACATTTTTAGCTTCTCACATGAATGTGAGATATAAATTCCATATTTTCTCTATATTTTATTTAATTCAAATATTTTAACATAATTTACAACATTTTATCTAAGAATATTTTACAATATGTAATATATGCAAGTGTTTATGACATGTGCAATACCCATACCCAACTTTTGGATTCATATCGTCAAATCCTGAGATATAGATTTAGAAAGATCCGAGGCTTGTACACGCACTAGCTCTCGATACTCGTACCTGAGTCCATGTAACATAAGTTTCAGTTGAATTTTATGCATGACAATTTCTCTGAAGGAATATGATACAAATTATTTGTGCTTATAATCCCCCATTTAAGGGAAATTTGGTTAAAAGTCCTTGGTAGAAAGCGTGTATTGCTTTAAGTCCAAAAATTTTCTTCATCCATGAAGTCCCTTAGTTTTATTTGACTGGGGTGTGAAGGACATGCATTAATTTTTATGGGCATTTTTTACCTTTGTTTATGTAAGAGGCCCAGTTAGAGATAAATTATGTTTATTGAAGCTCGCAAACATGCCATTTAGCTCAAATTTGCTTTGCAACCTACAGATTATACATACATATATATATGTGCGCGCGCGCGCGCGCGCTTGTGTGTGAGTTTAATTAAGTGTATATATATGTATGTATGTGCCATGAACCTAATTGCAATGGAACAAAAAATAAAATTAAGCGAAACTAAAATCAATGAAAAGCTCCATATTTTCTTTCTAAAATCTAACCGATGAAAAGTTAGAAGATGAGTTTGAGCTCTTTCATGGATACATGGGAGGTTTTATGTGTGCATATATATTATTGTTTGTTTATTAGTTTGTAAATATGAAAGTAAAATTTCATCTCTATTTGTTGTGGTTACTCTTTATATGTACTCTATTGTTCTAAAAAAAAATATGTATTCTTTTTTTTTTTTTTTTTTTTTGTGCTAATTTTCTGTTCAACAATGACAGTAAAGTTTTACTCTGGTAGTATGTTTTTGAGTTATTTCTTCTTTTGTACAAACTTTATTGTGAATCAGAGTAATATTTTACTATGAGATAGAGTAACATGTTACTGTCAAATAGAATAATATGTCACTGTTTACATTAATTTCGACGGTAATAATATATATATATTTTGAAAAATTTCATGGTTAATATGGATCTTGTTTAATAGATCTTGATAAGAGGATTAAATTTTATTAAAAACCGACATCTAGATCAAAAGTTATATTATTTTTAAGTTTAATATTTTGATGATAGTAGTATGTGTTGGACTTTTTAAAGAAAACTTTTTGTGTTTGTCCTTAACGCATTAAAATTTTATTATGAGGGGGCTTTGACCAAATCCCTCCTATATTTAAACCTTAAAAATTAATTCTAGGACCCTTTTTCTTGTTCTTTTTATTTATTTTTTATTTTTTATTCTTCTATTCCAGTAACAATTGAAAGCAAGAACAAAATCATTACATGTCTTAATGTGGGTTGTGCTTTTCCCTGTGGATGTTTTATGTGCACCTCCTCTCTTTATAAATGTTGTGCCATTATTTGGTGCTTAAATTTGTTGAAATGATACAAGTTGAAGGTGACCTAGAATCTTCAGTTTGTTGATCAATGTGGGGTATTTTGTTCGTTGCTTTGATTAGAAGCATGAAATATAAAAGTTCATTGGAGGAAGCTTCACCACTTTCTAGACTCTTGAAAGGAGTTTAAATACTGTTCGCAGATCAGTGTTCGTTGTCTGTAAACTGGAAGCTGAAATAGGCCATTTGTTTATCAAATCATAGTGAATTTTGCTGGCTGACTGAGTTACATTCTTCTTTCCTTCGGCTAGAAACTTTTCCAAAACCACTGTGCTGAAATATTTGAATATGGATGCACAATTTTTTTGAACTTTTCATCAATTCATCCATTCTTCTCTTCTATTCTATGTTACTGAAATTTTTTCCCTTCCCATCTTTATTAATCTATTTCTGTATTAGTTCTCCTTTTTATCTGATTTGGACTATTTTCTTGATAAGCCTAATTTAGACAATATTGTTTTTTCGATCTTGATTTTCCTGCTGCTCTGGTTTGAGTGACAAGAATATACCCCTTGCACATTATATAAATTCGTTCTCCTGATGTGTGACACTGGCACAGTAACAACAAAAAATGTTATTGTTGTGAGGAGAGGAATTGAAGTCTAAGTGATTTCAAAACAAATATGCAAAATATGATGAACAAATGGAAGTAAAAATTCGAGTTTAAAAAAAAAAAAATGGAAGCAAAAATTGATTGGCAGTTTAGTACATAAAAATAGAAAACCTCTGCCATTGAGTTGGTGGGTATAAGAGAAGTTTTATCTTTTTCTTTTATTTTTTTTCCCCTATCAAAAGAGAAGGAGATAACAAATGAATTTTTTTTTCTTCAAATTTTCTTTAGCATGTCCCTCCCCTTCTTTCTCTCTCTCCACCAAAAAAAGGAAAAGTAGGTGAGAATCTAGTAAAGTACGGAGTAGATAAGCTAATTGAGGTGGTTGGCTATCACTGGAATGATTTGATTAGTGTGTATTTAAGTTTTATTTAAAAGGGCTTAATGAGCACACCATAAATGAGGGTAATACATGCTTTGATACCATGTTATTATGCACTAGATATCAAGCATTAATGGATTGATACAAATAGTCTTTGGTTAAATGTGAATAAGGTTTCCTGCATGGGCACTTGAAACTGGACCATTTTCGCTTCTTGACTTGGATCTCTTTGGCTGTCTATAATTGAAAAAGGTCCCAAAAAGTCCTTTACATCACCATTCCTTGACGCATTTAAGATAGAAGTTTGGCATTTTTATCTTTTTTTTAACAGAACTGAAGGGAGAGAGGGAGCCCATAGGCCACAATACAGACATTTCTGTCTTCTTCGCCCCCCCCTTCTCTTTCAAAAACTGAGTGATAGCCAAGGAGTGTGATCTGATAGAAGACGGATTGATGAATGGGAAAAAGAAGCAATGTTTGGGAGCTGGTCTAATAATACATATACATTGGTTGATTAAATGCCCTTTATGAAAGCATGTATGCATACATATGTTTAATGCATAAATACAAACATACCTTCATATTTACATATATATATGTATATGCATGTTTGTGTGCTTGTGTTTGTATATATTTTTGCATGTAATTACTGAACTCATTAGCTTCATTTGCTGCACTTGTTACTAATATCAGGTTAAGGAAGATGTGGGAATCGATGGTTGAATGCCATAAGCGTCAGCTCCACACTATATCGATTGCATACGATAACGGAAACATCAAGATCTCCTTTCAGTCAGAAACACACCGTCAGATCACAGTACAACTCGAAAACGAACTGAGCTCTCTGTCTTCAAGTTTTACAAAGTGGATCGGTGCTCAGAAAACATACGTGAAAGCTATAAACGAGTGGCTATTCAAATGCATATCTCATCCTCGGGAATCCACCAAGAGGAGAAAGAAATCGAAACCCACACAGATACGAGATTTCGGTCCACCCATATACGTCATCTGTGGTGTTTGGTTGGAAAAGCTAGATTCCCTTTCCCTCCCCACTAGGCAAGTTTCAAGTTCCATAAAGATGTTAGCTGCCGAAATTAACCGTTTTTTACCTCATCAAGAAAAGAACCAAGGGAAGGGTAAGTATCCAGGCAGCAATGGCGAGGCAGGTGTTAATTTATTGAGGGAAGAAGCTTCAGAGGATTGGGTAACAGGTTTTGATCGTTTTCAACCAAGCTTGGTGGAATTTCTCCATCAATTGAATAACTTTGCAGAGTGTTCTGTGAATATGTTTAGTGAACTCCAAAAGAAAATTCAGCAAGCTAAGGCTACCCATGGTCAGTCGAAATCATCCCCATCCCCAACCGCAAACGTGGTTTAACTAGAAGGAAGAATAAAATCAAAATAAAGAGACGGAATTGGGTGCGGAGAAGAAGCAGCTGGCACCGCAGACATTGCTAGTTAGTGGGTATTGAGAAAAATAAATGATCGTTGTGGTACATGAAGAAAGAAATAAATGATCGAGTACTTCATTGGAGGTAGGTTTTTTTTCGCATGTTTTTTTATGAGAAAGTTGTAAAAATGGTGGGTAGCTTTTTGTTGTCGGTGGTGAAATCTGTATGTTTGTGTAACTGTCTGTGACATGTTAGGACTTTGTATAGTTCATGTGTGATTGGAATGTGATAATAATTGAGGTGCAATTCCACACCACCTCATCATTTAAATATTCAGTTATAGAGATATATTTCATTTCAAAAACTAACATCTATAATATGTTCTGTGAGCTGCTATGCTTGCTTTGTAGATTGATCAATGCTATTTTTGATTTGGGAAGATATTAATCCATTCATGATATTAGTTATGGTTATATAATGTTGTTGATGACACTGGAACAGGGTTTCTGGAGGGCAAGTGATTTTGAAAACTGAACTTTATCCATTCAAGAGTCATATTATATATATAACCCATCTATTAGATTAGATATTTAGGTTTTAATTCAGGAGCGAAAATGAAGAGAAGAAGAAGAGAGACAGAGTGAATGTTTTCACCTTTGCAAGGGAAACTGAGGTACTGTATTGAAGCCTTGGATCAAGATTTCGGAAAAGATGTGTGGAGGGAAAGCAAATAAAAAGAAAAGACTTTTTTGACAAATTTCTTTTCATTTTGTTTCCTCTTTATAGATCTCTCTCTTGAAATTTGATATTCAAACACAACTTTATGTAGAAGTGGAAATCGCATTCCTAGCTTTGCTTGGCTACTGTTCAGGAAAAAAACAAAAACAAAAACAAAAAGAAGATTAAATTGGGTAGGAGTAACATGATGTAAATGATTTAGATGAAGAAAATTACTACTGTTGATGGTTGCCATAACTAGTTTGGAGGGAGAAAGGGTGATTCTATTAACAAAATTATTTTTAGTCTAATTATACTCATTTAAAAATTTTAATTTTGTCTCTTTATACCTCTCAATATTTCAAGGACATTCGCTCCATAAATCTAATTATGAATTTTTTTTAAGTATTGTTATTAACATCTCATAAATTATTTTGAACTCCTAATTTTTAACTGTTATTACAATAATAACTTTAAATAAAATTACGAAAAAGGATATCGTTACTTTTGAGACACTCTATCTCACAATTAAACCTACACACTCACTACATCATGAATATTAGGATTTATGAGTACCCAACCACATCACCACCCATCCATCTTCTCCAAATCTCACCTTCAAAACTTACCCAACCTTAAAACCTTGAAAACCCTTTGGAAGATGATGAAGAAGAAGAAACGATGGTTTGTGGAGGAGAAGAGAGAGGGTTCAAATTCAACATAAGGTAAAAGGGCTTGTAAAGTTCATCTAATTCATCTAAAACTGTTGTAGTAGTACTAGTAGTTGTTTCAAATAAATCAGGAAAAGCATTGAAATCAAAGGCATAATAATCTGTTGTATAGTAGTTGCAGAAGCAAAGCATGTTGCAGATAGATTGTACATGGTGAAGTCATTGTTGAATCCTCTAACTACAGCTTGCAAATCCCCATCGTTGCCACCTATAAATTCACTCATCATTGAGAATTGATTGTCAAGCCAAACTGAGAATTGGAGAGGAAGAGAAGACAGAACAAGAGGTGCTGACTTTGTTATCAGTTGCTACAGAATAGAATATAGAGGACAAGTTTGTTTACGTGTATATATAAATATTGGAGAGAAAGAGAGAGGGAGCGTACCAATTGTGACAATGTTAGATAAAGTAATAGAGACAGTAATTATATTAGCTCTTCTTTTTTTTTTTTTTTAAGTGAGTTTTGTTAGGAATTTTTGAAATAAAGGTTTTTTTTAGAATATGGGGGTTTGCATTCAAAGGGTATAATGTTTTTTGTATAGTAGTTGTAGAAGCAAAGCATGTTATAGATGGGTTGTACATGGTGAAGTCATTGTTGAATCCTCTAACTACAGCTTGCAAATCCCCATCGTTGCCACCTATAAATTCACTCATCATTGAGAATTGATTGTCAAGCCAAACTGAGAATTGGAGAGGAAGAGAAGACAGAACAAGAGGTGCTGACTTTGTTATCAGTTGCTACAGAATAGAATATAGAGGACAAGTTTGTTCATGTGTATATATAAATATTGGAGAGAAAGAGAGAGGGAGGGTACCAATTGTGACAATGGTAGATGAAGTAATAAAGACAGTAATTATATTAGCTTTTTTTTTTTTGGTGGATTTTGTTAGGATTTTTTGGAATAAGGGTTTTTTTTAGAATATAGGGGTGTGCATTCAAAGGGTATAATGTTTTCACAAGATTGATTTTGATATTATTTGAAGGGGAAAGAAATTTTGAAGGTTTCAAAATTTATAAATAAAAATTCAGAATAATTCATGTGGTGGAGCATCTCCAACCCACTAGGCATATGATGTTTGTTAGTCAAAATGCCTAATATGACTCACTTTTTTCAACTCCAATGCACTAGGCATATGCTTAGGCATTTTGGCTCAGCTCACATTCACTAGCTACATGTAGCTAGCCTTCAAGACTAGGCAAAATGTATTAATCATTACAATTATTTCCCTCCATCTATGTTGCTGACGTGGCATTTCTATGAGTTAATAGTATTTGGATGAATACACGCTAAAATAAAGAGTCATGCGTGGGTATGAACAATGAACATCGTGACAGGCAAAATTAAAAATGTGTATTTTATAGTTTAATATTTAGAAAGGTAAAAATGCCTAACTACCATTGGAGATAGCTCTAATAGCACCACTCTTCTTTTTTTTTTTTAACCTGCAGTCTAAAATACTTTGTTCATAAGGATAAATCTTATAAAAATGACCAAACTACCTATTAATATATATATTATTATACTCTAGCCGTTATGCCCGTGCCTAAAGGCAGGGGGAAAAGAAAAACGATGTTTATAATAATATTAAGTTAAAAATGTAATTATAAAAATATATTTAACAGACTGTACTCTACAATTCCAAATAAATCAAATATAAAAAAATTAAATATCAAATAATGCACACAAATCAAAAGAAATCAAAAGAAAACTCTTCTATCATTAAAACATTGTAAAATCAATAAAACATTGTGATCCATTGACAAAGATTAAGAGAATAGAACACATGAAGCAAAACCCATATTATAACCTCCTTTCTATTTACATTACATTAACAAAACATTGCCATAAACACCACCATCGTTTTGCTATCACTACCATCGATGCCATTGCCATTGCCGCCACCATTATATCATCACCACTACTACAATCACTGTCACAATATAAAAATTAAAATATATAATGTAATAATTTTAAATTTTATCTTATACATATCAAACAATTTATTTTTAGTTTAGTACTTAAATTTTGATCAAACAACTTTTTAACTCAATAAATTTAACATTCAATTTTCAATACTTAATTTTTTATTTTCAACTTTATTAAACATTACCTGAGTCCAAACATTATCATAAGACATAGAACTAAAGTCGGGAAATATAAGTAGAGTAATCTACCTAAAACTCTATCTTTTATGTAGTAAGTTGGTATTTGTAAACTTGTTACAAATCTTTTATAGGTTTAGGGCAAATTACCGTGGGTAAAACTGATAGCTTGAACTGCCCTCAATTATGTATTCATTCGGCAGAAAGATGTTGCTATTGAGACTGGACCGACCGCAAGATTAAGCTTGAGTCTGCATAAAAACCCAATTCAAGTAAAATTAATACATTAAAGACTATCAAATCTTGTGAATTTAATAGTTTGTTGAACTTAATTAGCAAGAAAAACAGAGTAAGGGTGTTGAATACTCACAGAGGCCGACTATTGGTGATAAATTCGCAAGCTTTGAATAACTTATTCCCTGCAGTGTGAGATAAAATCGACATGAGATCTGGGAAGAAGGTATAGATTTTCTTCTTTGCTATATATTTTTCTGGGATAGTATATGACCCCGATATGTGACATAGAACAAATAGTTTTCCTAGCCGTTTAGTTGTGTTTCTATTTGTAGTTTTTTTGAAAAACGAAGACAATGAAAAATTCTAAAAATGGCCATCATTTTAATATTTATGATTATATATGCATATGAATACTCGAAAATAAGTACTTGTTTAGTTGTGTTTTCATTTTCTGTCATCTGTTTTTCATTTTTGGAAAAATACCCAAAAATGTGACATAAAACTGAATAATTTTCCTACATAGCCCTATTTGGTTATGCCTTTGTTTTCTTTGTTTTTCATGCTTTTAAAAATAAAAAAAAAAAAAAGGAACAATGAAATGTTAAAATAAAAAATAAAATAAAAAAGTGGTTTTTTTAATTGATAAGCAAAAACAGGCTGTTATGAAGAATGAATAATGCCCCTGCTCTCATGAGTCATATCCCCAGTTTAAGGTGAATACACAATGAAATCTATTGAAAATTCATATGCCAAAGATTAATGTTTAGGTAAATTAGAAAGAAATAGGATTTCTGGTGCAATATCTTTATATGACTTAATAGATTGGGGTGTTTCTATAAATGTTAAAATAAAAAATAAAATAAAAAAGTGATTTTTTTCATTGCTAAGAAAAAACGGTTTACGAAAATTCGAAAAATAATTTGTAAAAAGTGGGTTTTGTTCATTACAAAAATTTAATTAAATCAAAAATAGTTCACCAACCAACCTTTTTATGTTTGTTAAAAAAAAAAAACACCAACCTTTTTACCTGTTTTTTGAAAATGACATTATGTGTCCGAGCGTCTCTAATTCTAAAGGCATGACGAAAACATCTCCGCTGGCGTATACTTGAGAGAGCTCTTCACCTCTTGACATCCCTGTGAATACGGCAGGCATGCCGGAGAACAGCTTTTCAAGATCTTCCCTGCCATGAAGAAATCATTCTAGATGAATAAATTTTGCCCATGGTTCTTACTGGAAAATAAATTCAGGCAATCATCATGGCCCAATTTGTGTATCATTGGATGTATGCAAAAACATAAAAATAAATAATTCATTTCGTTAGACAGCGGTTTGTGGTTTTTAATACAAAGAATCATTTTATACTATATTCAATAGAGATTGTTCCAGCAATGTTGACAAAACTAAACAGCCAATAAGTCCTTAGAGAAATACCTGTATGGTCCATCTCCAATAAAAGCAATTCGTGCCTGCTGTATCTAGTCCATGACACTGTTCAATCATACATCCCAAATGTCAATGGTTACAACTTACAATTATGAAAAAAAGCATTATTCCGTCAATATTTTGCAAGTAATAT